AACTCACAAGGAAGCCAGGTAAAATGGCAAATCTTACAGCCCTTTTTCCCCACTCCCCCACCCTTTGGAATGCTCATCCTGGCGCTGGGATAATCAGCAAGAAGGAAATTAATGTTTGTATTTATATTCATTGGAGAGGAAGGGATTACAAGAGGGTAAGCAGGCACACAATGGGAAATACATATCAAAAGGAATGTGCCGGCACCAGCTGTTTGCCTAGTGTGCTTGTGGGTCTGAGCCCCAAGTCGCTTAGAATGCAAACAAAAGCTGAAGGTGTGAAACTGATTAAAGTCTTGTCAGTTACAGGCAGCAGCTGCAAGCCAGCCTCAACTAATTAAGGTCACAGAACTGAGTTTGTTAACTTGTGCTTAGGACTTTCTAGGGACGCATTGCACTGTGGAGAAAAGCAATTCAGGAAGAGATATCTTGTTTAGGCAATCCTGCTCTGCAAGGGGGGTGGGAGGAAAAAAATGGGTCAGATACAGGACAGCACACACTAACTGACTCTAATGGCAAACACACGAGAGAGACGCTGTGACAGTTGTAAATGCGGACATTGGTTGGAAAGTTACTTTTTCATCACTGTTGTAACTGCAAATGACTGTTGCCTGAGGCAGTTGCTAAGCGAGGTCTACCTGAACATGATTACATGATTTTATATTGCTTGTCAGAACCTTGAATTGCACCCGGAAGCTAATTGGCAGCCAGTCTCAAAGCAATTGTATTACATGGGCATATTATGGCATGCCCATCACTGCCCACACCGCTACCAGAAGGTCCCTTCTGGACCAGCTGCAGCTTCAACGGCAGCCCCATATGGATGCAGTGCAGTAGTCAACATATGGGATGACTAGGATGTGAGTGACTATCTGGAGGGCCCTCTAGCCAAGGAAATGCACAACTGGTACACCAGATGAATTTGTGCTCTTCAAGCAGGAGCTGTGAGTTCAGAAAGCCCCCCAAGTTGCACACCAGTCCTGAATAAGGAGATGCTACCCCATCGAAGACTAAAGATGGAAAAATTCCAGAACCGTGAGGGCAGTTCCAGAACCATTCAGTCTTCCTGGGGTTTAGCCTGAATGTATTCCTCCTCATCCAGACTCTGGGACAGAACTTCAACAGCATCACTTGGGTGGCCCAGGATCAAGATATACAACTTAGTACCATCAGCATACTAATGACACCTGACTTGAACTGATGACCTCACCCAGCAGCCTCATGTAGATTTAAACAGAAGGGGTAAGAGCATCAAGCCATGAGGCACTACACAGGTTAGGGGCTCAGCCTCAATCTCTCCTGCCAGCCAACACCATCTGGAATTGCCCACGGAGAAATGAGGAGACCTACTATAGAATGAAGCCTCACATGTAATGTAAACAGAAGGAGTGAGAGCATCAAGCCCTGAGGCACTGTACAGGTTAGAGGCCTCAGCCTCAATTACTCAGCAGCAGCCAGGCATCTACCACAAACCAAACAGCATCTAGACCATCTACTCTTGCCAACTATGTTCTGGACTAAATTCAGAACACTGGACTTAACCTTTAAAGCTTTAAACAGTTTAGAGCCTGGCTATCTAACTTCTCAGCAGTTCCCATGACACAGTGGTTCCCACGCCATCAGAGGGATACTTAAGGTAGTGAATTAATTGGAACATATCAAAATACTTTACAACCAGTTGTCTTGAACCAGTAGCCTGAGGCATTAATCATACCCAGCATTGTTTTCCTCTTCTATTACAAGAGTGGCAATGAATGCTTGTGCACAGTAGTATGCCGTAAACATAGGCTGCAATCTTGAAGATCTAACTATTCTAAAAGCTCAATGTACCTAAAGACATTTAATCTGTGTAACAGGAAGTGAGATTATACCCAAACAAAACTTTGTCTATATGTCCACATAGCAACAGTGAGCAGAATGCTGAAGAATTTATTGTGAACCTTTCTTGGTGGACTATGATTAAACTCCACTGAAATGAGAGTCAAGGGAATTACAGTTTACCAAAAAGGTAAAACAAATGTACAATAACTTCAGTTGATTCAGACAGTATATGATGTAGACTGAGAACAAAACTAAGTACATCTTATTTATGTGAACTCATAAATTCACTTTGTGTAGAAAAGCTATTGAGTCATGAACAGTTTCAAGGGAGACTCAACAGGAATTCTCATGAAAGTACAGAAAGTCACCTTTTTATCAAGTAAACATCTGCTACAGCTCTAAAAGCGGATAAGCAACAGCTTGTTTTGTAATTTGGTCTTGCTGATAAGGTTGCAATTGTAAAAAGAACAGGGATGAATGCAGAACTGGATTTCCAAAGAGAAAGGTGTGGCTACTCTCTCTCAACTATGAGGCCACGTCAAATGTCCAATAGAAAATCAGCACAGCTTTTGCCCAAGTTTTAACTATTTGTTACATTACAAAGCAAGGATGGATGACTTGCAAAAATAATTTGTCCTCAAAAAAGTGTGGAGAGGAAAAGAGAAAGAAGAGTCAGAACAGGACACAGCTCTAGCAATATCAAGCCCTAGTGAACACAGACAATGAAAGAACCGAGGCAGCCACAGAAAAATAGGGAATGATAAACCCACTTGATGTAAAACAAACAAGTGCTCTTATTAAAGAGGAAAAATTCCTCAACAGGAATCTGACCCTTTGGTAGACTTTTTTGGCTGGTATATTAGAATGAGAAAAAAATCTGACTGTTAATTTGATTTCCAACAGTGGTTTTATCTGCAGGCTTAAGCAAACTGCTTCTCAACTAATATGAAACTTTTTAACGTAATGTTCTCTGTTTACCTGTGATCCTAGAGTGGTGACATAAATGCTCAGAAAAAGAGCCTCCATGTGATGGGAAAAATAGTAATAATCAGAAGTTGGCCTTACACTGGCATTATGTTTCTTAGCCAACAGAAGTTGTGTTTCTGAAAGCAGCTGGAAATTAAACTCTCCGTTTTCATTATAACTATTTCTTTTGGGATGCATATGTTGTGCACTAAAGAAGCTCCCATAATTGTCAAATTAATGTCATCCCAATGATATTTTGCAGGGAAGAGAACCAATATAAACTCTCCTTTAAAAAAGTGTGTGTTTGTGCATGCTTTAATATTCTGTATAAAAAGGAAATGTCCTAAACTTTACAATATAGTTAAAACTCTGTAATACGGGTATTTGTTTAATCTATGTATGGGCATTGTTTTTAAAATATATCTAATAGAATGCTTACCTTCATTATGAAATTATACTTAAAGAGGTTTTTGGGGGGAATGGGTGAGTATGCAAAAGATCTAATTGTGAAGGGGCTGGGAAAAATGGGTAAAGGAAATGGCCATTGTTAAAATAGTTTTTTTTTTTAAAAAATCACAATCCTTTCCATGCAGTTTGTAGAATGTTTAGTTAGAAACACCTTAATGAGTGATGCTGTGAAAAACCTGTATCCCACAGAGATCTGTGAATCTCTGCTCAGCTCAGAGAATACTAAAACAGATGGCTAAATGGTATACCTCAGAATAAGGTAACTTCATGTGTTTTATATATACAAATAAATAAATAAATAGCATTTGTGGAAAAGTTTCAGATCCCCAAAGATTGATATTTCTAATGAGTGAAATGAAATAGTCATGTCTCTATGTTCGAAGAACAAGAACTATTTAATCTTCTCTCACTTGCTACCTCACTTGCTACCTTCTCGTTATTTGTCTCCCTTTTCTGATTCTATATTTTTCAAATAAGAAGTGTTCTAATTAAAGGTGTTTTGTCAATTCAAACATGCTCATTCAATTATTTGACAGCATGCAATTGTACCTTCTGGCTGTATAATACTTTTGGCATTTATTAAATTACATGCTTTCGCTAAACTACTGAAAAGTTTAAAAGTGTTAAAAACAATTTCAATTTTAAAAAAATGAGTTGCAACTCAATTTTGAGATGGTTAAAATAATAAAAATGTGTATTGATATTATAAATTATTAATAAAATATGCATATGTTATAATGAGATAAGTATTTTGTTTGTCAATCCTTATATTTTCTCCAAACCCAAAGTTATCAGTTCAAGACTGCCATTTTAGATATGCTCATTTAAGTGAATTGTTAAACATCTCTTTCTTGATTATTTAAGGATAACAGTAAAATATCATTATGTACAATCAGATTATGGTCTAATTTTAAAGTTACAACCACAACAAAGAGTTTAACTGTTTACATTCCTTGCTTTGAAGTCTGTAAATGGCATCAAGATTGTCAACTTTTCAGCACTAGTTCTGGGGCTCTGAGGAAGAACTGACAAAATATCCTGATTAGATTTATACCAAACATCACAGGAAAATAAATGATATTTATGATCTATTTCTTCCCAGTAATGAAGCCTGATCTATTCCTTAGCTTGCATAAAACTACACAAATGTTTATCTTGCATTAGGGTTTTGTTTCCAATGCAAAACAAATTATACTTCAACATTAGGGTTAGGGTTAGGGTTACCCTGGAGCTAGGATGTGTTTTTAGAGAAACACACCTTTGGACTGGTTGGGAACATAACAAGCCAGCATTAGAAATACTGTTCTGGCTGACAACCAGTTTTCAAGCTCAGTGTTAATACTAATTATACAGATTGAGTCTTACAAGGAATTTTTCTGCAACATATTCACCCATTGTAATTTATAAGTAATCAAAAAGGCTGTGCTTAAACATTCTTCATCCAACAAGATTAGGACAATGGGACTATTTTGAAACTGTAGTCCAGCACTACCTAAACTTTAAAACTTAGTATAGGCATTAACAGAATTGAAATGTTATGACAGGAAGCAGAAGACAGAAATGGTGATTTGGAAGGGAGGAAACCTACATATTTAAGCCAGAAGTGAATATATATGTATAAACCAAATTATTTGTAATGATACTGCCCCCAAGCTTATTAATAGTAAATGAGTGCTGGTATCCAAACAGTTTTGAATATGCCTTAAGATTAGTAGTATGAGTGAAAGACTGGACTGCTAAGTGCTCACCGGTATCTTTCTTCCTGTAGAGCCTGCATTATCAAGGTATAATCTCGCTGATAGTGAACTTTGAGATCTTCAAAGGATTCCTCCAGTCGTACTTGAACCTCTCTGATCTCTTGAATCTCATGCAGTATTGCATCAAACCCTGAGCTTTGCATTTCCAGAGTGTTTGTTTTGGAGCTTGGTGCTCCCAAGTGGACTCCTGTGGTGCTATTGGCTCCCACTGAGCCTGATGTAGCACTGGAGCAATCTTCCTCACTGCCATATTTTGGGCTCGACTGAAAGTTATGAACACCTAAAGTCTTTCCTCCAGTTCCATCGTCTTGACTTTCTTCCAAAGCGTCCTTCAGATTAGTAATATTGTCAGCACTTCCAAACTTGTTTCTAATAAGTGAGGCAATTTCTCGAGGTTTAGAAGCAACAGCTCCAGCTGCTGAATGAGTTGCCTGGGAAAAGCTGGAAAGTCCACCTTTAACACTATCTACTACTCCTTCACTGAAGCCAGTGACTTTTGCTCCTACATCCTTTAGCCCTTGGTGCATATCCCTCAAGACATCTTTGGGCTGTCGATGAATACCATTCTGTTCAATCTCTCGCAGCTTCCGATGATAGTGCTCTAGCTTCTTTTGCAACTGGAGGATTGTCTGGGATGATTTCTGGTTCTTCTTCTCAAACACCTGCTTAATCCGGGCACTCTGCTGCTTGTCAGCATTATTGGCTAATTTCAGGTATTCTGCCACATTGTCATCCCGAGCTGTTTGCTCTATTTTGATTTGCTCTGTAAGTTTCAGTATTTTCTGCTGCAGATGAGTGATGGCCACTTTTGTGCGTTGTGGATCTGGTGTTCCATCAACAGAGTCTGCATTGATACTGCAGTCTGTGCTTGATGCCACTGCGCTAGTTGTTTGTGCTAGGCTACTTACATCTAATCGTTCGATCTGGAAAGAGAATTAAAAAAATGAACATGAAAGTCTGATTTGGTAATGGCAATGTCATAAAAAATGCAAACAAATCTGGGTATCTTAAAAAGTTGAAGGAAAAAGTCAGTAAATTTCAGTATGGGCTGTTAGCATCAATAAAGAAAATGATAAAGAAATATGGATAGACCTTGCATAGTACTCTGGCATATGTATTTATTTTGTGAGATAGGGAGGACAGCAAACTTAAATTTCAAAATAATTAAGTATATCTTGTTACCTGAAAAATAAACCTAAGACATGCATGTCAAAATCCCTCATAAATATGCAATTATGATTCCCTACTATGTGCCCTACTGTGATCATACAGATCACTAGGATCCACAAATCAATAAAAAGACAAGACCTATTTAGAAACAGGCCTTAGCAACTTCAGATAGGATTCCTGTGGAAATGGTAAAAACTGAAGGGAGGTTCAGGCAACAGTGTAAGGCAGGGGCAGACAATGTATTATATTCCAAATGTTTTAGACTACAACCCCCAAAATCCGTTGCCAACTATACTAGTTGGGATAAGAATTGGTTCCAAACATCTGGAAGGTACCAAGATACCTACCTCAGGTGTAAGGGATCAGTTTCGGATAGTATGTATAGTTTCTAGGCAATTCTACTTAGCTTTCAGAGCTAAAATCTTTCAGTTTATAGTAAGAGCAACATTTCCACAGATGTTATCTATGTTTTCCAAAGCAAAAGTACATATACACATTTTAAATGCACTGGAAATAGCCAAATGAAAATGGTTTTAATCATCTCATCATATAGCTGTTCTTAACCAGTAAATGTCTTAAGAATTCATATATGTAACTAAAATGTAATTTATTCATCTATTTTCTAACAAAGAAATCATTCTTACTTCTCTAGCCTACCTTGGCTTTCCTGAGGCGCAGGAGTTGTTCCCAGTGCATGACTTGAACAAAGGACCAACATGCCTACAACTGCTCTGCTGAAAGCTCACCCACCTATGCTGCCTGAATGTTATAAAACTAAGTTTCAAGGAAGGCAGCTCACTACAGAAACTGGTGAATCATTTAATTACCCTGCAGCTCCTCCCCAAACAGGGAACTTATTAGGCTTCCTAACTGGAGTATGAAAAATAGCAACATGACTTCATTAGAAGCCAGCCCTTTATGAAGATAAACGCTCCCCTCCTCCTTCCTTTAAAAAAAAGAAGGAAAGAAACCTACCTAAATAAAATGAAAGCTCTAAAAGCTCACCAACACATAGTATCCATATAAAACCCAAATATTTTCAAGGGCAAAGGGCCTATCAGGGATCCCAGTGAAAAGGATGATCCAGAACAGCTTTTTTAAAAACAAAAAGCAGAGTCCATTGAGGAGAAATGCTCATTTCTTTTCATCTGTAATTGTTCAGAAGTTTCAAGAACTATAGCAGCAATTTGTTTTGAGAACAGGAATCACAACCTCCTACTTACCAGCTGAAGCAAACAGGTATGTACCTGTGTGTGAATATGCCAGAGATTAAGAGACTGAACAAATTAAGCTCTGAGTAACCCTACAAGTCTGAATGCTTGCAAGGTGACAACTACTGGTCACATGTTTCATTAGTAGCTATGGATTAAGTTTGAGTCATGATTTCAACCCGTCCCACCCGATCTCACAGAGAGGGCATGCTCCGGATCCCCGCGGTAAAAGAACTTCGATTAGCGGGGTCCAGAAGGCGGGCCTTCTCTGGTGTAGCCCCCGCTCTTTGGAACATCTTGCCCCCGGGGGTGAGACAGGCCCCCTCACTCCAGGCCTTTCGGGGGGATTTGAAGACCTGGCTCTGCCATCTGGCCTGGGGCGGGGAGGGAGGATATCAAAAATGGGATTGGCTGGCCCCTTAGCAGCCTGGTGTGGCCTCTATCGGCCTCTTGGATTTTGTAGCCTTTTTATCTTTCTCTTTGTACTTTGGTTTTATAATCTTTTAATTATGTATTGCCGATTTTAGTTTGTTGTAAGCCGCCCAGAGTCCCCCATTGAGGGGAGATGGGCGGGGACAAGTCAAATAAAATAAATAAATAAGTAAGTAAGTAAGTAAGTAAGTAAATAGGGAAAATTTCATTACACTGTGCCTTCAACAAGGAAAGGCTGCACATGAGATAAGGCAGAAACTGAAATGTAATAAAGGCTACTTTAAGCTAACTTTTGAAATGAAAATGATTTAGGGAGGGAAAGAGAGAGAAAATGCATGCACACATATAGAAAATGATGGCTAGAGGGAAAACAGAACCATGCCATTTTAAAAGAATAGTTAGAGAGAGAAAGAGAGATCCCAGGAAGAAAATATAAAATCTACAAAAGATTTATGTAATGGAAGGACTGGAATTTGTCCACCCCTGTTCTAGGAAACACCAGCAGGATGCCTCCTGATGTGAAAGTTTTATGAATGATTTCTAAAGCTTTGCAATGGAGATTAGCTCAGCTGACAGGCACTGATGGAGGGGAGAAAGGCCGCTCTCCCCTTTTACCACAAGGTCCACCCCAATACTGGTCAGATGTTAATCAAGTTCAAAAGGAGAACAACTAACAGCTTACCAGCACAGGAGGCAGCTGGCAGTAAGAGAAAGAACTGCTCTTTCCAGACCACCAGTTTCCAACTTGGCAACCTGGAGGGGAAAAGCTGGCTCTCCTCCTTCACCTGCTACCTGGCTTGGCCTGGTCTGGGAGAGGTGGCTCTTTCAAAGCCCCTCCATTTCCAACCCCACCACAGGTGATCTGTGGGACCAGAAACCTGGTGGGTAAACAGCTGGCCATCCCTTTCTACTGCCATCTCCCAGCATGGGGATCACCTACCTGGGCTGGGAAAGGCAGCAGAGCAAAAGTGAAATACAGTTTTAAGCTGCCAGGTCTCTGATTCCATAAGACTGAAGGCTCTGGAGGTTTGAAAGAGCTCCCTGGAGAAAGCAGGGATGAAGAGTCCTGACATGGCTAAAACCATCACAAGCTACTCTGATTTGGTTTTGTTTGTTCCCTTATTTATTTCATCCATTTATATGGCTGCCCAACTTGCAAATTGCAACTCCATCAGTAGATGTGCCACTGAGTCAGCTTAATTTCCTAGATCATTTTCAAGACCAATCTCAGAGAACACTTATCTCTAGAGGCTACACTTGTATATGAAGAGGGTCAAGGTTTTTAGAGGTTGCAGCAAGTGTAACTGAAGACAGGTGCTACACTCCTTTTAGGAAAAGTGCTACCTGCCAGTATCCCTATGCTGTACAATTATTCCAAAAGGGAATAATTAATTGGTACAGGTGATACTTAGTTAAGTTCTAACAATGACGTTGCATATGTTAACGTCAGGAAGCCTGAATATGTTGAGGATGGGCAACAATTTTTAAATAAACATTAATTTCCATAGATGTATAAATATTGCAGAGGGCACACATCATTTCAGAGGGGATGAGATCTATGGGAAAATATGTGGACACACCCTAAAAAATCTAGGTTATTTGTTTCAGAAATATTTGTCACATATACATTTATTTACATTTAATTAAATAAATTTTATGTATTTTATGCATGCACAATTAACAAAACAATATTTAAGCTTAAAAAAATAGAAAGATAACCCCAAACAAACTAAAAATACAAATTAAAAAGAAAAAAAGGATTATATAAATTATACAAATAAAAGAATTTAATTAAATGTAAATAAATGTACATGTGACAAATATTTCTGAAACAAAGATATTTATACTGATTAATAGTCACTGGTTTACTAATGAATACACTACTATAATATGAACAGCACAAAATGTTATTGTAAAATATCACAAAATCTCTGCCATAGTAACAATGTTGCTGCCTCCTTTGGTTAGTTAAAAATACTGTATTTTCCAAAACAGATATATTACACATTTCCAACAACCATTCCTTGACATCTGGAATAATATCACATTTCCAATTTCTCAGTATGATCCTTTTAACTACTCCCCATGCTTGATACAATCATAATTCCTGATAAACAATCAAATTTCAAAGCTTTGGTACATAATTCAACATTACATCAACATCTTTAACATTTAGAGATTTTCCACAAATCTTCTTATATACATTAACACAATATCTCCAAAAGATACCAAATGATCACATGACCATATCATATGGGTCAGTGAAGCCTCAAATTTTTTACGCTTCCAGCAAAGAAAACCTTATGTCCATCCTTTCAAATACGTTATTTGGGGAGTTCTATATACCCTAAATACAATTTTTGATGAATCAACTTTAATTTCAGATCTATTGATACCATTTTAACATTTTTAAGGATATGAATCCATTGATGGGGCTTTATCTAAAGAAATGATTGAGTTTCTTGGAGTGACAAGGGTAGATCTTGGGGAAAATGGATGGAAAGGAAATAAGAAAGTAGAATGAATATACATTAGAATGCAGTAAGAGTGGGTGCTTGCTGTTGTTATAACTATTATATTCTTATATTTTATGTAAAATGCCAGTAGTCAGCTGAGCTGAGCAATATACAGGTGAAACTCAAAAAATTAGAATATCGTGCAAATGTTCATTTATGTCAGTATGG